CCGGATTATCCGCAACCCATCTCTTACATCCCGGGGAGAAACTACCGGCGGAAGAGTACGGGTTAATTGAGTAACCTGATCTTTACTCTGTAATGATCTGTTATAGCCGGTCATAGTACTTACTAGAGTATCAGTAGCTAGTATTTTGTGACGTGTACAGCTTAACAGATCCTTCAACTTAAAGTAACAAATAAGGATCAGTACATGTATTGATTTTATTAATTCAATTGGTGATCCCAAACAATACATGAATATTTTATTTGCAATGATTCTTGTCCGTGATGACTTGGGGGACAAGGATAATTAATGATGAAGTCATTATTAAGATCACACAATAAATAATGAGGTCAGTATTAAAGTCAGTACATGTATGGATTGTATTCATTCAATGATTAATTGACACTTAACACTCAAGGTATGTACATATTTCTTTATACAGTTATTTGAACGTGAAAATACTGTAGAACAGGGATAACTTGTGGTACAGGTATTTCACTGTTAAAGGAGTGAAAGGTAAGTGATAATTACTTATGTATGAAGCATGTATGTATTTAATAGATAAGTAATTAATCAGATAAGATAAAGTTAGATAAGATAAGTTAGAGATAATGATAAGATAACAAGAGGTAAAGGTAATCAACATTATGGATAAGTACTTGTGTACATAAGTACAGGTGTTGCAGTTACTTGGTACATGAAAGGTACTGTGACATGTACTCTGTGGCTGACACCAGTGATGAAGTTCAGTTGTAAGATGAAGGTAAAAGAATAATGCTTTCTGGAGTCATGAGGAGGGAAGAAACGAGTTTGACAAAAAGAGAACTCTATATATGTGAGACTATGTAGTATTTACCCCCAATTTTGGGGAGTTGGACTTGGTGATATTTTGATGACCTTTTGCCCCATTGGAGGGTGTTGCTTGACTTTTGATGACATTTTGCCCCTTTGGGGCGTGTTGCATGAGTTGGGCACCTGTCTCAGTCTAACATTGGGGTCAACAAATTTGAATCCCAGGTCGACACCGGCGTTAGATTGCATGACACTTTGTTTGGCTCTCTGAGCCTATTCTTTTAGTTATATGTAGATAAGAGATAAGTGCAGTGGTGATGTCATTGTGAAGTTGACTGATTATGTAAACAATTCAACTTAGGAAAAACACTACTAGAGTATGAGAGTGATTGAGATCAGATCTCAACAATGTTTTCCCATGGGTCATGACTCACCATGTGGGTGCATACATACGTTTCAAGCAGCCTTAAGTGGAGATAGATGTCTTGAATTTGGACTCTGGGAAATATCCTGCCAGGGTGTCTCAGGAGACAAAGAGTTTGAAATTTCTCCTAAACTCTATTTGTAATATAAGGTCATTCCCAGCTAATAGCAAAAGACACTTGTGGTTTATCCACCACACTTTATGGCGAATCAATGTTGGTGACTCCAATCTGTTTGTATCTAATCCTTGCATAGTACAGAATAGGGGAAGCGTGCATGTGGGTTGTTTACGTATGCAATCAAGTTTGTGGTACTTATTTAGAACCAAGAATTAAACTCTTCAAAGGATACATTAAATCTGATTTCAAAGTGAAAGGGTTGGGAATAGACTGTATCCATGAGCCTATTGCAATCACATTCATTAGGAATCAATCACATTCTCCAAACTCTTTCCTTGACTTTTGTGGCACATTCACGACTTGTTATTGCAAGCTACACCTCCCCTAGTTCCTCACATGATGCTTCATACACCAATTGAGGATCGAATAAACAAATATTTAATTGAGCATATTGATATTTCTTTTCTTGTGTGTGTGTGTGTTTTTTTTTTTTGAAAAGTCAAGGTGATGTGGGTTAAGAAACTACTGCTACCATTTTTGATAAAAACCATAAAGATGTTCTTCTGAGAAAAGAGCAAAAGATATGAACCAAGTCTGTAACCATACACAAAAAGCCATACAATCTCCCCTCAAACATAAAGGGAGTTTCTTTTTTTCTGGGGGGGGGGGGGGG